AGCTGCTGGTATCCTTTCCTTCAACCCTTGGGCACCCTGTGCCAAATGAACCCAAACAATTGCCCCAGTGCCCCACAACCCCAGCCACCTGCACAGTGACCTGGCAACTTAAGCCTCTTTTAGCCTAGTTTATCCCCGAGTCCTGCTAAAGCTTGGGCTTTCCCCTTGTTCCTTGACGATGATTCTCCACACTTTTGCTCACAAATGAGTCGACTTGCTTCCACTTACACCACACCACTGGCCCCATGCTTCAGTTAAGTGGGAATTGTCTTTTACAGTGGTCCGGCTTCTGGCCCTGGGCCAGTTTTCTCTGTGGCTATTTTCTGTTCTTTGCTTTGTCCCTCAAAAATCACAGCTATCCACCAAGACCCAAGACTTGGGCCACCTGCAGGTGTGTTCCTGCTCACCACAGCAGAGTTATGTCTTCTGAGAGACTGAGCGAGGCAAGACAGCTGTAGAAACAGAGGTCCTGGTGTGTTCACTGAAGAGGTATACTAGGGAGTGTTCTGGAATCCTGCACAGGCACATGGTTGCTGGACAAGGGGTGGCTTAGCATAGTTCAGCACCTAGCATGAGCACCAATAAGCCAGGAGGAATGTGGTCCAGTGGAAAATGGGGTGCCTCACAGCATTGCACCCACGCCTCCCTCTGCTTTGTGTAATTTTGGTGTGGTTATGTACACGAGGAAGATGTGTTTTAAAATAATGCAATCCTTTGAAAAGCAAAGATAAACCAGTTTAACTGGAATCAGAGTGTCTGCTGATATCTCTCTGTGGGGTTGACAGCACCTGGTAACAGGGTTTCTCTCTTCAGGATTCTACTCCAGGACAATGGGTGGAGCCACAGAGACACCCTCACCCCACCAAGGCCATGGTACTGGCATCAAAAGAACCAGGGCAGGTGCTTTGGGGAACCCTATCTCAATCCTCCCTTCTGGGACCTTCCTCTCCTGGGGCAATTTCCTTCAGGTTAGTAAGGTGTAGGTGTACTGATCTATGCTTGGCTTTTGGTTTCCTGAGGAGACATGTCACCGAGGTGCTGGGAAGACGGGACTCTGGTTGTCTGGGGCAGGTTTGGATAATGCCTGACAACAGCTCAGGAAATAATCAGGAGGTCCTGTCCTCCCCTGTAGACAACTAGGGGTAGCTAGAACACTAGGACTCCTGGGGTAAGAGTCTGACTCTTTTTAAAAAAATTCATTGTATTGAACTATACATTTTTCTCTAAGAGTCTTACTCTTGACCTGCTCCCCAATACAAGAGATCCTTTCCCTAAAAGAAAAAGCATTTGGTTCACAATGCACCACTTCTAAAGTTGGTTGATGAGAGACACTGGGAAGGAATCTCACTCCCATTGGCCCTCCTTCCCTCGGCCTTCCTTCACCCCTATGGCCCCAGTTTCCTCAAATCCCAACTCTCTTCCATCCTTCCTCCTTCTTCTTTTCCACACACTCCCTCTGGGTTCATTGTTCGGTGTCCCTTCCAGCTGGGCTTTGCACCAGGGTCCTTTAAAAGGTCACAGAGCCTCTTCTCAGCCCTTGATCCTTGCTGACTTCTCCTGTGCTGATCTAAGTTTTGTCAGTTGGGAGAACCAGAGGGAACAAAGGCCAGGTCAACAAGGCGTGGAGGAAGGCATCTGGCTTGTGGCTTCTGGGGATACAGAGAAGCCACTCATCCTGCTGGAACTTTGGAAAAGGAAGAGAAGAGAGAAGCTTGGCTCTGGAAAGGGGGTAATAAGTGGGACACCCCTGCCTCAGCCACTCCAGGTGGAAGTCTGAGGTTTGGGGACAACTTGAAGTTTCCTCTCGGATATTGTTCACCAGCTCTGCTCCCATGATGGAGACTTGTAGGAGAGACACCACTCTGGGCTGCTGAGGATACCCAGATCACTCTGGCAGTAAGGAGGGCAGAGGCAATGTAGTCTCTCTTCATTAGCTGTTTGTGGATCTATCCTAGGAGACAGTTTCCCTGTCTCCTGGTGGACCTGGAGAGCCTTGCTCAGAGGAGGAAAATCAGTTCCCTTGTCGAGTCTTGCTCTCCTGGTGGAGAGAAGAGAGGAGGGGGTGGGGAGAATACCTTTGCTGTCGGCTCTGCCACAGCTCTCAGGTGGGCATGCCCGGGGAGAAGTAGGTGGCATAAATCGCATGCATAATCTCAGGAGACGACCACTTTAAATCTTAATTGGTTGCCTTTTAAATATCATTTAAGGGCCGGTTTCTCTACCTCTCTCTAGTTAAGAAGGTGTCGTGTCAAACACACCTTGCAGTATGTCTCTCCCTTACTCTTTTTTTTTTTTTTTTTTTTTTGGAAAGGGAGAGAAAAAGAAGAAAAAAAAATGGAGCCGTCAGCCGCGTTTGAGGGGTCGATAAAGCTTTTAGATTTGGAGACGGTTTCCGGAGCCAGTTTCCTGCGGCTACGTGTTGTTAATGGGGCTTAAGGAATTATCTTAGACTGGGCCCGGCCGGGAGCCGTATATTTCCCGCGCCTGTTCCCTTGTCGAGTCTGAATATGCTGCTGTCAGACTCGCTTAATGAAAAGTAACGCGCCGCTGATTACAGTTTTATTTGGCTCTATGTAAAGAGCGCCGTTAATTTAGCCTCTCCTCTCAGTGTGTTTGCGATCGCCACGCCTGAGCGACTGAGCGCGTCCCTGCGCTGCCGCCTCGCGCGGCCGCCCAGGGCAGGCTGACAGCATCCCGCAGGGGAAGTCGCGGCTAGAAATCCTCCCCCGCAGCGCTCCGCTGGGGGGGGGGAGGGGAAATCCAGACCTCTCCCCTCCCAGCGCCCTCATCCTGGCTTCTGACCAGCGCCCCCAAGATTGGGTGAACCTAATAGCACAGCCTTCAGACTGTTCCCCTGAGTCAGAGGTGTCTTTGGGGGCCCTGAAATGTGGCTAAGTTTCCCCTCCCACTTGATATCTTTATTCACAATGTAGTACAATTTACTCAAATATAAACTCCTTCAGTCGCTAGGGTCACCAAGGGCTGGGGCTCTAGAAACTTGTTATTTGGACTACCAGAGCTGGTACAGGCCACACCCAGAGGTTCCAAGCTCTACAAACTTGAGCGAGTGCAGTAACCTCCTACCCTCGGGCCTCAGAGGAGGAATTTGGGGGCCAGGGCCGGCATGTGGACAGTGAGCACTGATCAGAGCCTAGGGTGTGTGCGCCCCAGGCAAATCTGTCTGCCATTAGGACACAGGCTTAGGTCCAAGCCTGAATTTCTGACTCCCTTGTCTTTATCTCACCTACTCCTCGCCTGAATCTGTGAAGCCTAATTTTTTTGCTGAAAATACTTGGCTTTGTCTAGGGTTGTGTGGGGGCGCGCTTGGCGGCCGCATTAAAATTCCTCGCGCCCCAGCTTGGGCAGCAACGTGTCTCCCCTGAGACTCCACTTTCGCTATTACTGTCAAGTACCCTTGACTCTTTATTTTTGCCCTTTTATCTATTACAACTAATTCGAGTTCTTTTGCCCTTTTCAGTCTAAGACGTGGGCTTTCCGCAAAGCCTCCCCTGCCAGCGCTCTCTCAAAGCGCGGAGCCTTTAGAAATTGAGGGGTTTACTGTCAAAATGAAAATTTCACTTCAAATTATCTTGGCTGATGCTCGCTTGCTAGGCCGGGGGCTCCTGCCGCAGCCTTTTGACAGGCACATCAGCGGCAAGCTTCCGCGTCCCGATAATATCATCCAGGAGAGCGAAAGTCAATGCGGTGACAGCGCAGGCCGGGACAATCCAATTACTGAGTGCTGGCCAGGGCAGGCCTGCGGCTTGTGGGGCAGTTGGCCACTCAGTGTGCAAGGGCCCAGTGCCGGCAACCAGGATTCAGGGTGAGGACCAAAACTCAGGGGACCCTGTCAGTTCTAGGGGTCTGGTTCCAACAAGGCTAAGTTTCTTTCCTTAGGATCTGTAAACTATCCCTAAAGCTGGCCCTTTGGGCTTATTAGTGTGACTAGACTCCAGCCTCACCCCTAGGCTTGCAGAAGAAAGACCTGGCATCTATTAAAGGTTTGGTGTCTCTCAAAGGCCATTTTCTGAGATGAAAAGTGGTGTATTATAGCAGCCGGAGTCTGTGGCTATTAGAATTTATTCTAGTCCCTGGCCCACCACCATCTTAATCTCGTGGCAGCTTGCCCTGGGTTCCCTGCTTTACAACCTTTCTGCTTGCCACAGCCACACTGGGGACTTTTATGAAGTCCAGAAAGGCCTGAGCAGCAGCTTGTAGGTCAGCAGAGAGCCAGGAATGGATGTTGGGCAGGTGCCTCCTGAAGATGCGGAGAACCTTGTAAAGACGAGCCACAGAGGACCGAGTCCACAATGGCTTCCACTAATGACTTTGCTGAGAAGGGTGTGAGGGGTCAGGCCTGCCCCCGACCCAAGCCCCAAGCCCTTGGGTCCTCATCCCAGGTCTCTTTAGCTCTGCTCCTCTCCTGACTTCTGCTACTAAGGTCTCCCATCTGGAGCCTTCAGAACTTGAGTGACATAGAAGCCAAATTTAAAGTAATCAGGGCTCATGCTGCATCTCTGGATGTAGACAAGCATCTCTGGATGGGGTAAAAATCTGTTAATCTCTTGGCTCAGAGAATAGTGGCCTCTGGGCAATGTTCCCTTCCCCACAGCAAAACTCCAGGGGATTTAGAAAGCCTAAATTTTACTTTAATACAGTCAAAGAAACCATTATTTCCTCAAAATTCTGGTGCCTGGCAGCAGGGCAAAGTTTAAAGTTTGGGGTCTCACATTCAATGATGAATTCAGAAGAGTGTCCCTCCTGTGCCTTTAACATCTCAAAAATGGTTTGTTTAGTTAAACTTGGATAGGCAACCTCATTATTGTCTGGGTCAGCCCGCCCATTCTTCCTTCCCCTGGTGGGTATGAATAACCCTTCCAACCACACCTGTGGACCCCAGCTGTGAAATGCATTCTTTCTGCAATGCAAACACCATCACAGGGATTTATTAGTTTTGTTGTATTAGCCTTTCTCTGAAGCAGGCAATTACTGGTGTGGATATACATCTTAGAAAACATAATTTTGTTGAGTCAAGAGTGTGCAACAGTGTAAACATGGTGGGAGTGTTGTTGGTGAGCTTTATGTGCTGAGGATGAAGTCTGAAGAAAAGCAGGTTGAGGAGTCTTCCTAATGAACACCGGCATGCCTCAAACCCAGAAGGAGATGGCGACACAAAACAAACCTCAGAACCCAAATGCCTTCTCCATGTAAACTTTGGATGTAAACTTTACTCTTTAGGGGGGCTCTCCTCTGCTTTGAGAGTGTTCTCTTGTCTTCCTGGAGTTCAGGGATGGTTCAGGTGGACACAAGATCAGGTGAAACCTGGTGATAGAATGCAAGAGGGTTCTTCCATTGCCCGAGAGCCTGAGTTCAGATCCTTTGCCTTAGATAGGATAGCATCCTTGGCTTGGAAATGCCCCCTTCCTTTGGAAACCCATTAAAAACAGTCCAGAGTCAGCGCCTGCAGCCTGAGCGCCAGTTCCTTTCTCCACTGTGCAGGTGGGTGTTAAGTGCAGAAGGGTTTGCCACCGGTTTTGGGAGTAGCCAGCAGCTCCCGGGCAGCCCCCACAGGTGGGGCATCTTGATGCACCGTGGGCGGGAAGGAGCAGGCCAGAGGCGTAGTCAGTACGTTGGCGCCCGCCCCCAGAGAACGTCCTAGAGGGCCGGGATCCAGAAGTGCGCCCTTAGCGGTGGCCCAGGCCTGGTTCAAAGTGCTGTGCCTAAGGATGGGATCGTGAAATACCCCGTCCACCCAGTTTCTGAGACTAGTTACTGGGGAGTCCTGGTGCCTTTCTAGGGCTCCCGAGGGGGCTGGAACTGCAGGCGAGGACGCCGGCGGCGCTGAGGATGCCCCCGCCGGACCTTGGCGTTTCAGCATGCAAGAGGGAAACTCAGTCTGGTTCAGAGCTGTGGCTGCGGCAGCGGTGGCTGTGTGAGCCAAGGACCAGATGCGCGGCTTGGTCTCTAGGCTCGGCGGCGCCCCCGCTGGGGCAAAGCTCAGTTTGGCTTCGCAGACCCGTGGGCCGCCCTCAGAACCAGAATCTGGCGCAACCACTGTGCTCCGGAGGCAGCTCCGGCCCCTCTCCAGGTCCTCATCTATGGCAGCTCCACCAGGGGTGCCAAGAGGCATCCGGAGTGTGGTGGAGGCCTCCTTGCCTGGGCCAGGGCCATCAGATGAGGCAGGAATCCTCTCTGGTCCGTTGTCCAGGGCCTGGAAGGGCGTCTTCAGATCGCACTCTGAGGTCTCTGCATCTAGAGGGTCGAAATCTTCCAGGTCACTGAGTTCTAACTCCTTGTCGTCTTTGCCAACGGGACCTGTCAGGCGACAATACGTGACCAGTGGCGGGAGACAGGAAGGTACAACTAACTTCCTTTAATCCTACATCCCAGGCTTTCTCTGTTTTCCTCTTCCTACCACTAGAGACCACAAATCTTGAACTAGTAACATTAACACCAGCTGGGCAGATCTGGACTCACCGGTGTATGAAATGCTTTTTAACTTGACTTTAAGTAAGCCCACATGGCACCACTTCCCCTCCACTTCCCAGGCACAAGATCTGACTGGAAACCAGTTCGCTCATTTGCTGCCCAGGCACCAAGGGCTTTCCATTTGCTACCCAAAAGCTTCCAGAGAACCCCACCCACCCACCCACCCACCCAAACGTTACAAAATCTCCAACCCACCTTCGCTCTTGGCACTCTTGAGAGGCTCCTCCCTTGACTCCTCCTCGACCGCATCCTCCTCCTCACCCTCCCCATAGGGCCGCTTCTCCTCTGAGCACTTATTTCGAGGAGGCCAGGTCATCTTGTTTTCCTTTTTGAGGCGCCGGCGCGCATTGGCGAACCAGGTGGAGACCTGTGTGAGGGTCATCTTGGTGATGATGGCCAGCATAATCTTCTCTCCCTTGGTAGGGTACGGGTTCTTCCGGTGCTCCTGCAGCCAGGCCTTCAGCGTGCTCGTGGTCTCCCGGGTGGCGTTCTTGCGCCGCGTGCCGCTGTCCACGGTCCCGTACCTGGAGACAGGCTCTGCAATGGGGTGCCAGTCGCCCCCCTCCCCCGGGGGAGATCACGCGGAGCGAGCAGGTGCGGGGCATAGGGACAGGCTGTGTCTCTCTGGGGTGGGTTGCACTTATGGGCAATGCTTTGCCTTTTGTGGGCCAAGGGCAAAGATAATGTCATTAAGATGACAGAGAGGAGGTCATGGCCTCTGCCACTCTGTAGACAGATTTCTTTGATTTCCACTGTGGGGTTTCCCTCTTATCGCTTTGATCCGCAAACCATAAAAAGATATCATGGACCTGTGAGTCAGCACCTGGGAACCTGAACCCAGAGACAGAGGGGAGGTACAACCCAGGAACCAGGCTCAGGGCTTTTAGTTGAGCTAGTTCCATAGGAAGATGGAGCAATGGGCTGTCCCCAGCATGGGCACCGAGGGCTAAGGGCTCCGACTTTTGATGCCCACTGTAGGGCTGGTGGCCTTGGCTCAGACACCTATCTGGGCTGAACTTCTTGGGATGTGTGGAGGTGTCTCAGGCCCTTCAAGGAAGCAGCCTGAATTTTCTGGAATCAATTTGCTTGAAAGTGACAGTGATGGGAGAATTTAGGATAGAACACCTGCCTGAAGGAATTGTCCACTCTGCTGGTCACCCCACCTCGGGGGGGGGGGGGCGCTGGTGGTGGTGATGAAGGGTGGAGTGGCTGGTAGCTGGTACTGTACTGGCAGTGGGGGAGGGAGGTCTCATCCCTCACCTGTCATATGGGTACTGGCCCAGAGCTGGCTCATATGGGTAGTAGGCTGCAGCAGCGGTGGGCGCTAGGCCGGCGTGTGAAGAGCCCGTGCCATCCTTGGACTCGAAACTGTTCTGTAAAAATCAAGGTGTCTGAGGTCACAGCTTCTGGGGATCCAGCTAGAAACTCTCTGTTAAGCCTTCTTAACTTAGCTCAGAGCCCCGAGTTTCCCCAAACTCCCCCAAGGCCCACAAAAGCCAATCCATCTCCTGATGGTCTCACTCAATAGGGACAGAGCAGGGGGTGAAGATGAAGTGAGAAGAGGCGAGAAGAGGAAAGAGATCTCAAAGAAGCCTGGAAGGGAAGAAAGAGGGCAGACTAGTAAGGACTCCAAAGAGGTCACCAGGCCTGGGGATAAAGAATCTTAGAGAAGAGGCCTTGAGTGAGAGGGAAGGGACTGAGCGCTGAGGAGATAGGGTGTGAGGTTCGAAGGGGAAGGGGAGAGGGAAGAAGGAGTAGAGAGTGCTGGGTGAGAAGAGAGAGGTTGGCTGAGTCTGTGAGGACCTCCCTCGCCTCGGGAACCAGGAACCTGATCAGAATTCAAAGGCAAACTTAAACCACAGCATGATCTTAGGCACCGGGCCTCGCGGGCGGGTAACCCTGAATCTGAACCAGGCTACGGGTGCTGTGCGGCTTCGGTCCGGAGGCACCGCTGAAATCCTTCTTTTCCTCTCACCCCAACCTGTAGGGGATCCAGGGCACTCGCGCCCGCCGCGGAAGTAGTCTTGGCAAACCGAGGGTTCAGGGCGGGGCGCGTTGCTGTGGGAGGGGATTTGTCCCCTTACCAGCGAGTAGAAAGCCGATGCCTCAGAGCCGTAGGTCACGTAGTTTCCATAGCCCTGCGAGCTGCCGTAGGGGCTCCCGTAGACCCCCAGCGCAGCTGCTGAATTGAGTTCGTGGCGTGCGGTGGCCAGCAGCCGGCTCTCGTAGACGGGGCAGTAGACAGGTGCCTGGGCTGAGGCCGAAGGCCCGGAGTCAGCCAGTGTGCGGCCACCAGACTCGCAACACGTGCTCAGGGAGTTGGTGGTCATCAGGAACTGGAGAAAGAGGGACCACAACTTAGCATGGGTACCCGGACAGAGTGTCCCTAAGGGCCTCCGACTTGAGTTCTTCCCTCAACAGCCAACCGAGGCCTTGCCTTCTCTGACCACGTGGGGCCCAGCCAGCTGTTCAAATCCTCCACTGGGTTCCAAGGCCCTACAAGCCTTCTCACCAAGTACGTCTGACTCAAGTGCTTCCCAGGGTCTCCCAGGGCACACTCTGATGGGTTAAACAAAAGGGAATTCAGACCCACCCACAGGATTTTACTAGCACCCCTAAGTGCCTCCTAACCACGTTTGGCTAGTATAAGGGGCCACCAGGCAAGGGCCCTGCAGTCTGGGAAATGGCAGCCAGTGGTGGCTCTTTTCTCTCCCCCTCCCGCTGTCAGACCATGCAGGAGGCCGTTTACCTGGGGAGCGGAGGAATAAGGGTATCCAAACTGCGGGTAGGACATGGCGGGCACCGCCTAGGAAGGTTGGAGGGGCCGTTAGGGTCCTGTGCACGGTGTGGCCACTCCTCCGGGGCTTCAGGCTCCTAGGCTCTGGGAAGGCGAAGCGAGAGGAGGTCAGTTCACCCACGTGCAGCGCAAACTTTCCTAACCAGATAAGAAAGTGAGTGGCCTTGTTCGTAGTGATCCTTTTAGCTTCGAAGTCTGAACCCTTCAGAGGCCTCTGGGACCAGGTGGCCTCGCCACGAGGACAGAAATACATATTTTACAAAACGAAAGAAAGGAAGGAAGGAAAGAAAGAAGGAAGGAAGAAAGATAAAACAAAAAACCGAGTCTTGCGGACTGTTAAGTCAGTTGTGCAAGGTTTTAAGCTGCAGAAGCGCTGACGTCAGCCGACGCCGCAGCTTGGCCTGGCCGCAGACCTGCGGGTCATTCGGCTGCTGACCGGGCGGGGCGGAGACAGTCTAAGTCTGCGCCAGCAGGGTGGAGGGCCGTCGAGCTTTAACAAATGAACTCCATCTAAGGAGTCAATATCGCCCCCGACGAACGGTGTTTCTCCTTAGTCACGGAGGACGGAAGGCACTTTTAATTAGAAATTAATTAACGAGCAGCTGCTCCTTCACACCCCACTGTAATCATTAGTCTCAATTACAAATGAGACCTATGAAGGGACACACGAGTGAGTCTTCAGTGAAGATGTAATCAACAGTTAAATTAGCCGGGCGCAGGCTGCAGCCGCCCGTTGCCCACGCTGCTTAGGGTGGAAGGACGCAGGCCCTGCAGACCCCGCAGGCCCTTCGTGCTGAGACGAAGATAGCGTGCCTGGAAGCTCCACACACTTCTTCACCACGTAGGTTTAGGAGCCATCTCGGCAACGACTCTCATCAGTTTCAATTCCAACTCTGTACCAGAGTTTTAGAACCAACTGACGCCACAAGAGAGCCCACTTTCTGATGGCGACCTGAACTCAGGTGTGTGCACTTGTCTCCCGGGGCCTCCCCAGAGTCCCACACTTCCAGGATCGGTGGGGACCAGGTACTGCGGGACTTCCAGGGTCTAGCACAGGTTGACTGTGGCATTTTGGACAGCGGCTGTCCTTGGAAACGGCCCCTCCCCCCTCTCCACTCCAGGCCAGCCCCCTGCTCAGCCTGGCTTCGCTTCATTTCCTCTCCCCTCCCTCTTCTGGTCTCCCTTCGCGGCCTCCTTCCGCATCCCAAGGCTAAGACAGAGACTGTCAGATGCTGCTGCTTGCTGGGAAGAGCAGATTTCCCAATTTGGCTCCCGGGCTCCTCCCGAAGGCTCGCTGATCCTAGCCAGCCACAGGGCTGGGTAGAGGGAAGGGGGCGTCGGGTGCCTAGCCTTGGCACCCTATGATCTGCTTCACACTGCTTCCTGCCTGGCGTGTAAGGAACTCTCGGAGAGAGGCCCAGTGTCCCCTCAGGACTTCCTGAGCAAATCTGGGCCCTGTAATATTGCCCGGGTGTTCAAAGCGGCTCTGAGTGGAGCGAGCAGGGCTATCAGGCTGCCTTTCACACTGATCTTCCCGGGGCCAGGCTCGCCCCTACTTCTTTTGGTCCACCAGGCCAGCCTCTCGCGCTCCGCCGGCAGCAGAGCCGCTCATCACGGAGCTGTGCAGACTTGCTCCGAAAGATTCCTGGGTTCAGACCTGTGAATCGCCCCAGGGCCACCCTCTAATTAATGATGACGTTCGCGCCCTCTCCCCAGCTGCAAGGCTGCCTCCCAGAAACGAAATCTGCCGGCCCTGACAGCTTGGTTGAAGGTGATGGATGACTATCTGGAGACCGCAGTACACATCATACAATATCTGCTGCGTAATTGCTTTAATTTACAGATTAAAATACGAGTTCTCCGATCGCGCTGGACCGCAGCCGGCCAAGTCCGAACTGCTTGCAAAGGGAGAAACCATCGGAAATAATGAATAGTCGCCCCATGCAAATTATTCAGACAGTTTAGCGTTGGTAGCCGGGAGAGATATATACATATATAAGGAACACGAGTCGAATGACATTAATAATTGTTTTTGAATTCTGTATTGATTTCACGGCAAGCTGTGTTTATTTCTTTCTCACCAGAATTGCTAATACCACCTTCCTGTAAATAATAAGAAACTAGCCACCGGGGCTTCTCTAGTGGAAATGAATCTCAGCCTCTCTTTCTTCCTGCTTCTTCCCCTCCCCCAACTCCCTTCTCCCAGCCTCTTTCCGTTTTCAGGCTTTACTCAGGCTTTTGTGGATCATCCTCCTAGTTTCATTATTTATTGTTTACAAACAACTCTCTTCCTTCCGATAATGAGGTGCTAGCAAGGAAGGGGGCTCAGTACAGGACAGTGGAGGCTCAGGGACAGGAATCCAGCATAGACTAGTGTTCCTCAGTGACTGGTGTTTTTGTCACTTCATTCCTGAAGCCCAGGCCTTGGGGGCTATGGTAAGCGCAGGCCGGTTGGGAAGGCGAATGATGACCATGCTGTTGCCTCTGTGTGGCATTCTGGGGACCTCAGCCAGCAGCCAGCAAGTGTGTACCCAGAATGAACACTCCCTGCTTTCTTTCCCAGACACCTGGTAGGGCGGGGGTTGGAAGGTTGCCCCTGCAGACTTCCATTTATCTCCTGAGTGGATTCTGTACTGGGGTAGGGTAAGTCGGAGTCCCCTAGGGTCTCTGGTTTCTGGGGAAGGAGTTTCAAGGGTTTTCCTTGGGTCCTCAAGATTCTGGTTTGCCTTCCAGTCAGAGCTTCCGGGCCCCAGATGCTGTTGATCTCTCTAGTGACCCTTTCTCTGGGTCTAGAAATCAGGAACATGGCACTTCACTATGCCTGAAGATGAAGACTCACGCTCTGCTCCCTGCCTGCTGCGTGCAGGGGACAGCCAGGACCCTATCGGGCCTGCTCTATCCTCACTCAGGCCCCACTGTCCAGTCTTGTATCTGGTGAGCACCCACACCAGACATCCTGGTGACAATCTACTACCTGGCCAAAGCTCTCCCGCCCAAATGAGATCCTCCCTAGGTCATCCTTGCTTCCGAATGATAAAAGGGTGCCTTCCTCAAAGACAGCCTCCAGTCGAGGTACCGGGTTCTCCAAGAGCAGACAGTACTCCCAGAATCTCAGGCACCACTAGCTAACAGAACTTGCATAGATGATCATGTTGTGCCCAGAAACTCATAGGGTCCCTAGAGTTGTAGGTATATAAACACACCGTTCAGCAACTTGGCCAGAACCACTTGACTCCCTGAAGGCTGGGTAGTTGATCACCTTTGGAGAGTACTTCAAAAGATCAGAGACTGAAGTCCTGCTTAGATCTCAAAGGGATGGAGCAGGGAACAGTTAGTCCCAAGAATTAGAAGCCTAGGGTCAGCTGTTTTTTTCTGAGGTTGATGATGGCCATAGAATTGGTGAGAGCTTCTGGGAGGTCAGGCCTGGTCTTGATATTCCTGCTACTAGCTAAATCCTGGCTCTTCAATAATTCTTGAACCCCTTCTTAACCACACCATGAGCTCATTCCAGTCCAGAGAGAAGTTGACTACAACCCAAGGACAACACAGAAGCCAGGTACCAGGAAAGAACCTTTTCTGTCTGAGGCTAGGCCGGAGCTTGAGATGCCTGGGTCTACTTTGGACATGCAGCTGGTGTAGGCTCAGAGAGACACTTCAGGTGCCAGAGATGCTAGGTGGTGCGGACACCCGCCTCCTTGCCTCAGTTCATTCTTTCACACTCAACCTCTGTTCCCCTTACCCAGCCAGTGGGGGTGAGCTGCTGGGACATGCGTTGAATTTCCCGTTTGTTCCCCACAATGCCCTCCTTTCTGGCTCTCTTTTCCGACTGCACCCCCCACAGACCGTCCATTCGGCGCTGCCCGAGGAAGGAAAGAGCGCGCTCAGAGCGTCCAAGAGCACAAACTGTGCTTATCCCACGCAAGCCACCACGGTCCGCGGGGACCCCTGCATTCCGCACCTGAATGCCGGATCCTTCCTATTGCGCTTCCTAAAACTTGCAGCAAATACAGCGGCCTCCGAAGACCCTATCCGCTAGAAGCAAACTTTGTCCCCTCCAGCGCGGGAGCGATCATCGCAAAGTTTGCGCGGCAGAGCCCGTTCCTTACCTGCTCTGGGAAAGAGCCAGCCCGCGTCGCTCTGACGCCAGGGCCTCCGGGAGCAGCGCGCAGCCCGGGACGCACCGGGGAGTCGCCGCCGCCGCCGCCACCGCCGCCGCCCGCGCCCCTCGGCGGCCGCGCGGAGCCTCTGCCTCCTCCGCCTCTTCGAAAGGGGGGGAGGGGTCTGGGAACCCTGGGGCGGGGGCGGGCGCGGGGACCTTGCCTACCTGAGGTGGCGCCGGGCCACTCCTGGCCGCCCGCTAGGGCTCTGCGCGGCCGCTGGGCGCGCGCGCTCCGGCGGGGAGCAAGCGACAACTAATGGAGACATTTCCAGGCGGAGCACCTGGAGAGCGGAGCGCGCCGGCGTCCCCAGGCGCAGCGGTCGTCAGCCGAGCCCGCACCGGCGTGACGTGGGCGAGCGAGAGAGCTGCTCCCA